AAGTGCCACGCTAGTAGTAACAGGTGCCTTACTACTAGTAACAAGAACGCTACTAGGGGCTCCTGGCATCGCTACGAACGGAGCCAGGACGCTACGTTCGGGGCTCCTAAAGAAGAGTGACGGCAGGACGAACTCCAAAACAGTCTTAGACTCCTGAGAACAAGGAACTCGTTGTACCTAAGTAGCTTTCTCCTTTGTTCCTTACTTTTGTTACTAGTAATGCTCCTAGTAGCGATGTCAGCCCCTAGTAGCGTCCTTGCTCTTAGGAATAAAAGTAAAACAAAGTGTTGAAAAGCTTGTTTTGAAACATCTAGTTTGTAGTCCTGCATTTTGCTACCCGGAAGGCCCTTGACTCCATTCCAAGTCACAGCTCACTCTCAGTCTCTACCCGTTGTTTCGGTCGTCGAGCTGCCTTTGGTCCAAACGAGAACAGTCTTAAAAAGAAGACACAATACAAGAAGGACAAAGGTCTAAATCTAACGGTCCAAAATAGATATACATCGAACAAAAAAAAACGGTAAAAACAACGAAGGAAGTAGGAAGAAATAGCAGAAGCAAAGGCCTTAGATCTCTGGTAGTTTGGTGTTTGCGTTTCTTTGTTTCTCTTGGTACTTTGTCGTTTTGACCAGTCTCATATCCTTCAAAAACACCCTCAAAATTACGTTCTCACTGTGTGCTTCTCAGAAAACGAGAAGAAAAGTGCTCAAAGAACTAGTAGTAACAAGTGCATCGCTAGTAGTAGCAAATTTACTACTAGTAACAAGAAACTAGTAACAAGTGCATCGCTTCTAGTAACAAGTGCCTTACTAGTAGTAACAAGAAGCTATTAGAAACAAGCGCCTCGCTTCTAGTAACAAGTGCCTTACTAGTAGTAACAAGAAGCTACTAGGAACAAGTGCTTCATGTCTCACTTTGCTCAACTTGCCTTCTTGCCTTTCTTGGGGCGCAAGGGCATGAACTCCTATCGATGGCAAAAACATCATCAAACGGCAGACCTTGGAGGTCTTGGACTTGGACCTTCTTTCTTTTGGTTCTTTTTAAGTGCTTTCTTTGTTGTCACCGTAGTAGCTTTTTCCTTTTTTTCTGTCTTTTGATGTGTCTCTTCTTTGTCTTTGTTCCTTACTTTTGTTACTAGTAGTAAGAATGCTCCTAGTAGCGATGCCAGGAGCCCCTAGTAGCTTCTTGTTCCTAGTAGCGATGCCAGGAGCCCCGAGTAGCGTCCTTGCTCCTAGTAGCTTTTTGTTTCCCTTTTCACAAATGCTTCGTCTTGTCTTTCTCCGCTTGTCCTCGCTGTCTGAAGCTCGGGTGCTAGACACGTCACTGTTCGCCTGCGAGTGGCGAAGCGATGCACTAATAGTAAGGCACCTCATTAAGAGTAGCTTCTTGTTCCTAGTAAGTAGTAAGGCCAGGAGCCCCTAGTAGTGTCCTTGCTCCTAGTAGTGATGCCCTCTGTTCCTAGTAGCTTCTTGCTACTAGTAGTAATGGCCTGCGCCATAGTAGCTTCTTGCTACTAGTAGTAATGCACTTGTTACTACCACGTTTTTTGGCATTTATTCACATCCTTTGCTTCCGACAATTGTCTTTAGCTTCCGACATTCAGCGCCTTGTTTTGAACAATCAGCTTTTTTGAACAAGAACGCATGTGTTCATCATCCTTTTCTTACAATGTGTCATGATCTTTCAGGTTAAAAGAATAGGAACGGCCAGGGCTCAAGAGTCAAGACCGACCGCAAGGAGAAGCGCGCTCGTTCTAAAGTGTCGCATTTGGTAGGAGAGGTAAGCAAGAACGGAGCGCGTTCATAGAGCTCTGGTAAAGATCTCGAAGCAATGAAAAGAAACGTCCAACGCTAAAGCCGAGAGCCTCAGGTGCAAAGCGCAAGCTGCAAAACAATGGGTAAGCTTTTGGGAGGCGAAGGAAGAAGTGCCAATAGAAGGCAAGCAAAAAGTCCCACTGGTCAACTTAATGTTGGATTCCTCCGTCAAGTCAATCCTGCAATGGCCTCCAACCTAGCAGCTTCTTGCTACTGGTAGTAATGGCCTCCAACCTGCTAGCGGTGGCCTCCAATCCAGCAGCAAAGGCCTCCACCCTAGTAGCTTCTTGCTACTACTAGTAAGGCACTTGTTACTAGTAGCGATGCACTTGTTCCTAGTGGCTTCTTGCAATATCTTACAAAATTGTGGAAGTGGAAGATTGGCACAGCTGGGCAACAAAGTGCCGTCACGAAGAACGAGCAAACAGCGCCCACCAAGCCTTTTCCGAGGCCGGCAAAGGGCAAACCTGCTAATCCGTCGTTTTCCGTCAAAGCATGACTGGTCCAAGTGACAGGATGTGGCAAGTACACGCTGAGTACACCAATGCCGTCTTTCTGTTTCTTTTGTTTGTAACAAGGACGTTGTTATTAGTAGCTCCTGGCATCGCTACTGGGAGCAAGAAGCTACTAGTAGCTCCTGGCATAATTTTGTTTGTCGATCTGTCCTTTAGACCTTTCTTCCTTTCATACAAAATGTCAAAATGGGTAGAGGATGCGCCCAGGATGAATGGGGCAACAACCCAGGAGCCCTTTACTCTGTGCCTGAGCATCTGGGCCTCGGAAGAACCATCGAGATGTGAAGTCGAAAGTCTGAACATCCACACTGAGAGGTTCCAAATGAACGAAGAACCGTTTTCTCTCTAAGAGCAATGGCCCGCCTACCAAGCCGCCTACCAAGCGATGGCCTACCGAGCTTCTTTTCGGATGCTAAGGCACGGGCTGGACAAAGATGATGTGCTGAGATGGTCCTCTGTGCTCTGTGCCTGGAAGAAAGACGCCGGCAAGAAAAAACAGCTCAATAGATGCTGCGAGAAGAAAGGTCTAAAAGTCCAAAAGTCTAGAAAAGGACCAAAAACTAAAAAAAGGTCTACAGGTGGAAAGATTGAATTAACAGTAAAGACATGACAACGACTCCTGCCTCTATCTGGAGGCCTACTGCCAAAGGTTGGCTTGGACTTGGTGCATGTGGTGCACGTGGTGCGTGTGGCGCCTGGTGAGTCTGCTCTTCTTCCAATGAAGGAAGAAAATGAATGTACTACTAGTAAGGCACTTGTTACTACTAGCGATGCACCTGTTCCTAATAGCTTCTTGTTACTAGTAGTAAGGCCAGGAGCCCCTAGTAGCATTCTTGCTTCTAGTAGCAAGAAAATGAATTTTATCTCTTAGCATAACCAGAACCAGGTTATATTGTATTCGCATATGTCCCAAGCTTCTTTGCTTAGTAGGGTGGAGGCCATCGCTAGTAGGTTTGGTTTGTTGAGTGTTCCTTCTTTTCCTTCTGTTCTTTCTTTCCTTTTCTCTTGTCCTTTTCTTTCTTGTCTTGTAGCGAAATGGCCAGGTGCCAAGACCGCTGCCCCTGCTGCGCCTGCTGCACCTGCTGCGCCTGCTGCGCCTGCTGCGCCTGCTGCGCCTGCTGCATGTTGCACAAGTCCTGGATTTGGAGCTGGCCCAGAGACCTAAAACGAAAAGGCATAGCAAGCAAACAACTTTCAGACAAAGAGACAAGTCAAGAGTCAAAACTCTTGAGCACATAGGTAAAGAAGAAAGACTGATGCACAAGTACATTGTTGATGCAAAATGCAGAACATACAAAATGTCTAGCAATGCGCTAGTGGGGGGTTGAACATGCAAGCCGAGAAGAAGGCAGGTTGCTCATGGGCATCATCATAAATACACCTCGGTTCAGCAGACTCTTTTGGCCTCGTCCAAAGTCAGCGGCATTGTTGCTATGTGCCACTCCACAGGAAAAACAAAAAACTAAAGACAAAGGAAAACAACGTATTCCTGTCTCTTTTTCATGTTTTTTTTTGATGTCGTGTTTCGAGCAGCGGACCCGTAGGGTAGCCACCTCGAAAAAGATAAGACTGGAACAAGAAAGGTCCAAATATAGAGAAAACGAAGATGAGAATAGAGACAGAACCGTAAACGGTGGAAGTAGTAAACAAGAACCATAAGAAGAGAGGTAGTGAGGCCTGAAAATAAGGAAGAGAATAGAAGTAGTAAGTAGTAGAGAGAGAAGTAAATTGTAAAGAACGCGTGCTTGTTGCTAAGCCTTATGGGATGCAAAGGGGATTAAAAGGAAAAACAAACAGAACCACAGAACTATATACTTGCAATGGCCTCCATCCTTATAGCGATGGCCTCCAACCTTAAGTGTCCCTTAAAATCTAGGAACCAAATCTCTAGGGGCTAGAAGCTACTAGGCGCTCCTGGCATCGCTACTAGGAGCAAGGACGCACCTAGGGGCTCCTGGCCTTACTACTATGAACAAGAACGCTACTAGGTTGGAGGCCATCGCTACTAGTTTCCCTAAAAATCTAGGAACCCAATGAATAGTGCGAGCGCTTCTTCAAGGAAGCTCCCCCCTCGCCGCCTTTAGGGCGTGAGCTCTCCTGCGTCCTGTCGGTAGTAGCTTGAGTAAGGCACAAGCTACCTCTAGCTAACCTACCTACCTCACCTCTACCTCACCTCTACCCGGCCTACCCCCCCCCAAAAAGAATAAAAGTGACTTTCTCTCAGCACAGGGCCCACCATCACAGGTGTCAAGACCTGACGATCCGTCGGGGCGAAAAGGAGTCTGCGGAGAGGTCTTAACGTCCAACGATCCGACGTCGAACGTCTAAACCGGAAACCAAAAACCATGGGTTTGTGTACAAAAACAGATGAACAAAAAAGACTATATATATATATGGAAACACATGATGTAACAAACGAATAACTTTTTGTGGGGGTTGTGTACACCCCTCCTTGATTTGGTAGCACTGAGCATACAAGACTGAGGGCAAGCATAAGAGTAAGGAGGACAACAAATCAACAAATTGTATATTGAGTAAAAGTTGAACTCGGAGAAAACATGCCGAGCATTTGATTGTTTGAGCCTCTCGATCAACGCAGAGCTTTGCCAACATGGCGGAGTGATATGCCAGTTCCAAGGGTTCCAGACTCATTGCCTTTGACAATGCCTTTAAAAGAATGCCAAACAAGAATGAAAAAACATGATTGGAAAATTTGGTGTGTGTGTAACCCTTGGAATCATAGGGATCCTTTCGGATTTTTCAGCTGGGGAATCATAGGGATCTTTTCGGATTGTTCTCGCTTTCAGCGTTTTTGTGCTTTTGCGGTTTTCAGCAGAGGAATGATACGCACAAATCTTGCAGTGTACTACGTTGTTGCAGTTGAAAGGAATGACACGCACAAACCTTGATGTCTTTCATAATGTTGCAGTGCAACCTTTGGAGTCACATCCGTTTTCGGTTTTGTTTTGTGTTTTTCTCACTGCCTTGTGTCTTATGGGCCCTCTAACCTATTGCGCAGGCCTCCAACCTTGTCGCTAGGGCCTCTTTCTATTTGTGGTTCCTTTCTAGTAGTTGGCTTGCCGGTTGCCCTTAGGGCCGGCGCGTCCACTCTGCTTGGCTGGATGCTTTCCTATCCAGTCAGCAGAGTTGGGGTGGGCATAGCTGCTGCTTGCTGCTTGCTGCTGCTTGCTGTTGCTTGGGCCTCCAAACTTAGGTGCTGACCTCCAACTTCTAGCGTCGGCCTCTACTTTAACTTTAACTTACCTCGTTTCCTAAGGTTTTTTTACTTACCTCGTTTCCTAAGGTTTTTTTGAACCTAGGCCGGCGTGTGGCACCGCATTCAGTTCAGTACCACAAAGTCCGCCTTACATATCGTAGATATATGTTTGGATATGTAAGGTTATATGTGTGGATATGTAAGGTTATATGTGATGGTAAATGGGTTAAGTGTCCATAAGTATTCGGCCAGACTTACGCTAGATACAGTGTATATACAAAAATTATAAGTCATTTATAAGTCAGTTATAAGTCGGAATAGTACGGAAGCGAAAACCTACTTATTCTACTTAGGGGCGCACTTAGCCTACTTACAAAAACCTAATTTTTTCAAAGTTTTTTTCATGGTTTTCTTAAAAATGTCATGAAAAAGTTGATTTTTTAAGGTTTTTGTGTGTGGATTTGATTAAAACGCTGGAATCAGCAGTCTACAGCGTAATGTCAACATTACAGCCCCTTGATATGAAATTGCTGAGGGTTAGTTGAGTGGGCAAAGTTTCATAATTTCATAAGATATTCCATTCTGTAGTTTGATTTTTGTGGGCTGTTGCAAACATAAAAGAAATTCTATAGACGTGAACATCATTACGCACACACATACAGACACAGACAGAGAGCCCTATATGAACAGGGTGAAAAGCGTTTGTTGGGCGGTGTACCCGCTGCAGGCGAATTCGATCTATAGATGGCTGTGAGAGACCGCAGTTGAGGTTATAAGTGGCGGTGTGTCCGCTGTAAGTATAGGTTAGGGGGGCGGTGTGTCCGCTGTAGGTTTGTAACATTCGGCCGGGTTTGAATGGAAAAAAGATAGGGGAGGAAAGGAAAGAAGGGTACCCTTTCGCGTGCATCTGCGAAACACGTGGGCGTGTGTTGAGAGAAAGGAATGGGAGGAAGTGCAATCTCCGAGATTGGTGTTGAAAGGAGAGCCTGCCCGTAGTGATGGCCTGACATCGTCTGACTTCCTTCTGACTTCGTGTGTCGTCAGGGCGTCGTCGGGCCTGACTTCGTTCTGACATCG